GTTCTTGGACAAGTTTTTGATACAGATATCTACAGGGATATATGTCAAAATACAATGGTAATTGCCTATAGAAAAAATTAATACTGACCCACATTTTATTTTTTAAGGCAGTGTGATTGTGTTGTTGTTTGCCTGTATAATTATATATTTTACATATATAAGATAGATAGATAGATAGATAGATTTTTGTAAATCTCCTTGCTCAAGAAGCCAATGCTGTACTCTCTCTATTCTACATTCATGATGGCTTCTTGCTTCTGTCTCCTGAAAGCCCTTTAACCCCTCAGCCTGGTGCTATCAGCCAATGATGGCCCTGAATAGATAGGCCAATTGCATGTCTCCACACATGGGCATCTGCCTCTCTTGCCCTAATGGTAACTTAGAGATAGGCCCCTGAAATTCTTTCTTAAAGTAGACTAGGCATGTGCGAAACCTGCTGAAGCAGGACAAATTATTTTTTTTTTTAATAATTTGTTCTTTAGTCTTACTTTCATGTTGTATTTTTATCGTTACACTCCCATTGCCCTGGATATATATTAGATCCCTCTAACCACTTAGAATGTATGCACTTTTGTGTTGTATTCGCGGTGAGATAACAATTGGACGGTTTCTAGTTCTTTTCAAGATATAGTGGTTGCTTTTTACAGATTTCAAAACTGTCCATTTTTTTGACATGTCTAGTTATTCTCAATAAAGCTTCTCCAGCCACCAATGAGGAAGGGAGAGGCCCTACAGAACTGAAATCTATTACAGAAGAAAGAGACAGAGATGTGTTTTTTTTTCTTTATTCTGACCCACACATGGCTACAGTATGTTAATCTACTTTTTTCCCCGTATTTTTTGGCTTACCACCCTCCAGCCTTCTAAACTATGTGGCTGGGTTTCATTTCATATAGCTTGGCAGAGAGGGGGTTAGTAATGTTAAAAGGGTAATTAATATCCTGTTTCGTAACAGAATTTTTAGTAGATTTCTCTTTTTCATTCAAACTACTTCAGAATACTGAATTCTTATATTTATGAGAAAGATTATTTTATAGCACTTTTCTACTGCTTTTAAATAAATGTTATTATTTTATATATAATACATCATGTAATAAAATATTCTTGGATTGTGGTACATTGTTAATATGATTTTTTTTTAAATAAAACTTGTTCTGGTAATGTTTTTGCTGATTAATTTTTAAATTTAATGTTGTTGAACTACAAAAAAAAAATGTTACTAAATTATATATTTTTTCTCTTTTTCTGTTGTCCTATATAAAAATAACAGGAAATAAGAATGCTGCATGGCCAGCATACATACATCAAGACAGAAGTTTGAATATTGTTTTTATTTAATTTCAGACCAAAGAAGTTGATGGCATTAAGATTTTCCGTACAAGTTCAGCAATTTATTTTGCAAATGCAGAGCTATATGCCCAAACCCTCAAGGCAAAGGTGGGAGAAGCAGCTCAAAATTAAATTATACAAATAAAGTGAAATGTCACTCACAGAGATCTGTAAGCATTTATAAAAACTACCATTAGCTTACGTGTATTATATTTCATTTTGTTCATTTGGTTGCTTTTTTTTTTTTTTTTTTGGAACTCTATACCAGAAAGAAAAACCCACTCTGAATTGATCTCTTCCTCCTATCTACCAGCTTCAAACGAGAATTGCAGCATCTTTCTAAGGATTGGGAATATGGGTAGTTTAGATAACTGCATTTGATTATAGAATTTAAATAGAATTTTGAATTCCTGTATAGTTATTTTGATAAGTAAACACAGTACAGGTACAGATGTTTATAAAGAATTAGCATCTAATGGTTTTTAGGACTTGAGAACATAGCGGGTCCACTTTAAAGAAAATAAATGAAGTTTATTCAATATATATTTTAATATATATATATATTGTTTTTTTCCCTCTTCTTTTTCCCTCTCCTTTATCACTTCGTTATTTGCCCATAGTCACCCTACCTTATCTGTACATTATGTACCGAACTCCTTTACCAGGTAACTCCTTTACCGGCAGGGGAGGGCTGGCAGCCTTAGGCCTGGGGGGCAAAACCAGTCAAGTGGCCCATTGCACCACCAAATCAGTTCACCATCCATGCCCACCTTTTCCTGGTTTTATAACAGATATTGATGTTATGCTAATCAGTAGCTCTTTGCCATACCCGCTCCTTCACGGCTCCAGGCACTGCTTGTTGTGAGTGTGAGCCACTGTAAATTAGAGGCAGAGGGCACTTGCACTGCGGTAAAGATGGGGCTGGACAGGAGGAGAGTGCAGTGCAATCAGTGCACTCCCCTCCTGTGGGTCACCAGTAGACTGGTGCACCTGCCCAGGATCAGTGCCGGTGCAAGGATTTTTGCCGCCCTAGACAAAATTAAAATTTGCTGCCCCCCCATGTGACATCACAATGCCCCACCCATATGAACTAACGCCAGTGCTGCACACATTGTGTGTTTACATTAAAAAGCCTGCAGGGACCAGCTATAGACACCAGAACCACTTCATTAAGCTATAGTGTCCCTTTAATGTGAGGTACATTATAGATTAGTGTCACTAATAATAAATTTGATTGCCTACTTACAAGCAGATGAGGATGATGATGGGCTGCAGTTTGGCTCCACTGGTCTGGTGTAGAACAGGATCTCTGGAGGCTGTTTCCAGCTGTGGTCACAAAATTCAATGTTCTGGGAGAATTGGAAGCAGCTCCATTTTTTGGGGCCCTTACACAGCTCAAGGTCTGGGCCCCAGGGCCTGACGGTGAGTATGCCCATAAGGCCCCACTCATAAGTTCCACCCACCCATGAGTTGGCTCACAGGGAGTGGAGTGTGTAGGGGATGTGTTATGTGTTATTGTAGAGGATCTAATATGTGTGCTTATGGTATGTAGTGTATAGGGTTACCAGTTTGTGCAGGTGATGTAGTGTGTTTGTGTGTAGTGGAAGCAGTGTGTATTTGTGTATAAGGGATGTATTATGTGTTTCTGGTTGTGTGTAAGGGATGCATTGTGTGAATCTGTGTTTGTATGCATAAGGGATGCAAAGTGTGTGTCTGTATGTGTGTGCATTGAGTGTAAGAGATGCATTGTGTTTCTGTGTATATGTAAGAAAAGAAGTGTGTGTGTTTGCATGTGTGTGTACGGGTTTGCATTGTCTGTTTCTGTATATGTGTGCAAAGGATGCATTGTCTTTGTGTGTAAGGGTTGCATTGTGTGTGTGTGTAATGGATGCATTGTGTGTTTCTCTGTGTGTAAGGGAAGCATGTTGTGTTTCTGTGTATGTATAGGGATGCATTGTGTGTGTGTGCGCGCGCGCGCGTAGTGTGAAAGAGCTCCCTGTCTTGGCCCCTGTCCTATAGAGCTGCCCCTTCTGTCCCGTAGAGCTCTCCCCTGCACCTTAGTGGCCTCTCCTCTCCCCCACCCTCCCCTAGCGGTCTCTTCTCACACTCACCCACCCTCCCTGTGCTCTTCTCACTCCTCCCTCTATGTGTTCTCCTCACACCCCCTATGTTCGTCTTACCCCCCTCCTCCCTGTGTTCTTCATACTTCCCCCCTTGGTCGCCTTACTCCCCCACCTGTTCTTCTTAACCCCCTTCTTCTTATTGCTCCCCCTTCTTCTTCTTACCCCCCCTTCTTCTTCTTCCTCTTCCTCCCCCTTCTTCTTCTTACTCCCCCCATTTCTTCATACTCACTCTTCTTCTTACCCCCTCTTCTTCTTCTTACTCCCCACTCTTCTTCTTCTTACTCCCCACTCTTTTTCTTACTCCCTCCTCTTCTTCTTACTCCCTCCTCTTCTTCTTCTTACTCCCCCATCTTTTTCTTACTCACCCCTTCTTCTTCTTACCCCCTCTTTTTCTTATCTCCCCTCTTCTTATTCCCCTCTTCTTATTCCCCCTATCCCCTCTTTTTATTCCCCTCCTCCCCTCTTCTTATTCCCCTCCCTCCCCTCTTCTTATTCCCCCCTCCCCTCTTCTTATTCCCTCCCTCGCCTCTTCTTATCCCTCCC